GGCAGATGTAAAGCGCTGTTATGTCTCCCCATGCTCCTGGGCTCTTTGAACTTTTGACCGAGATGCTATAGAACATGGAAGTGTATGTATGACCAACGCTATCAGCTTATGAACACAGGAGTTTGTCTCATACCAGGTCAGACTGTTTGCTCAGTATAGTCACTCCAGCTGGCAATGGTCACAATTAAGGGACATTCACATCACCTGCTACCTCATCTTTTAAAGGTGACATGGCAGAACCGCCTCATGCAATGTATGCTCTGCAAGCTTTGTGAGAAACAATTTTTCTCTGTGGAGTCTTAGTCCGAAGTGGTGAGCAAAGTCCAGAATGGAGGTTTGGATGGTAAATGTTTTAGCATGAGGCTCTTTTCTTTAGACAAATTCAGATAGTTTAGGGTGCCATCCTGTGTGACTGCCGAGAACTTTCTGAGCTCAGAGGGTTAAATACATCGAATTGAACACAGGAACTGCACCGCCAAGGGTTGCTTCCACAGGACTTCTGCCCTGCAAACCATACCTGATGGCTGCCTGTATCTTTTGCCACCACTCAGGAAAAGGGACTGGGAGGCAGCCTGGATTCTTTCAGGATGGCAGTTCCTAACACCCATCCCCCATCCCCAGCCACAGCTTGCTCCAAAGAGTTGCAGCCAGCCTTGAAGTCACCACTTTTGGCTGTGAGAGTGGAGGGAGGGCCCTCTGAAGATGGAGTATTTGCTGTGACCTTGAGGCACTTTTATGAGGTCACAGGAGAGACTCTTGACTTTTCTAATGACTATCAAGCAAGCATCTATCTACTGGCCATAGGACTGTGCCCTTAATAGCTATATTAAAATTGGCAGGTAAAAGGAATCCAGTATTTTCCCCGTAGAAATCCATAGTACAAAATAAACTATCAGTGAATTTGAGCAGCTAATTTTCTTTAAAAAAAAAAAACTCAACTAGAACAGCTTTCTAGTATTATTCTTTTAGTCGTAAAGGCACATTACCTGTTAATTTTTGCTGATATCATCACTGTTGCATCAACTGATCAAAAAATCAATAACAGTTCAATATACACTATTGACATGAATTAACATACTTTCCCCATCCATTTAATGTTATGATAGAATATTTTTATAAAATCATTTCTACTAATTCAAGCATTTATCATTATATGCAAAAAGATTGCTTGATGAGAATATTATAGGCGGTGTGTGTTTTTGACATTAGCATTTTATTTGGATGACTAATCTTGCAGATGTGAAATCTGGATGAATTATTCATGAAAATGCTTCCCTCTGAAATTTTACTTCTTGCTAATGCTAGTTATTAAACATTTTTATTTTTCTTGATGTAGAAAATAAGCATATGCTTACTCAAGAGAGAAGGTGGGAAGATCATAGTCTGTCCTTAAATCTAGAGGGACAACAATGGTCTGAGACTCAGAATGTTGGCTTGGTTATCTTGGCCATGGATTTTTCTAAGTACCTGTCCTCTGTAAATGATTGACTGGGCAATCCAGGCCCTTATTGTCTAGGGTTGACTGCTTTATTCCAAAGACCAGGAGTACTGAAATCAGTGGGACTGCTGTGAGCACACAGCAGGACTCTTCATCTTCATTAATTTGAATGGTTGTGGAAAACTCAGAAGAAGCAGATAATCAGAAGTTCAGATGAACCAGTGGGGGGGGGGGCACAATTTGCACAGGATAACATTGGCTTCCATTAACATTGGCATATCATTACTAGCTTGGGCCAGGAGTGCCATTTTGCAAGTAGAACATCTCTTTAGCTCATGAAAAGAGGATCATTGTTCAAAAAGTGAATCAAGATCCAGAAATGATCTTCCACTTATGCAAACCCTTGTGCAACCAGTTGCACGACATCTCCTATCTTCCTCTTCTTTCCATAGCTTTAACTTTTGACAGCTTAAATCCCTTACATGTTTGTGGAGCAAGTCTGAATGGCTGCAGAACTGCAGGAGGGAACTGTTTGTATTCAACCATCAGGAGCACCTTCAAAAATACAGCATGTGCCAAAGTATACCGCATTTCTGCACCAGTCTGGAACATGCATTTGTGTACTGTGATACAGGCCCAGATACTTCATTGTACAAAGTCTCTGCTAATGCAACAGTCTGCAGGAAGCAAAGGAGTGAACTTCTTCCACTTGTCCAACTAGGGGAATTGGAATATATTCGGCTGCAATTGTTTTCTTTATCACAGAAATAGTAACATCAAGAATTATCTGTGGATGAAACCACTAAGGATCCTGTTAATGGAGATATGCCTCCCACCCAACATTCAGCAGCTTGGGAGCCAGTCCTCCCATCTCAGAATGAAGGAGCTTTGGCTACTGGGTGGTATAGAAATGAAATATAAATAAAATATTGCCAGCAGGTCCCCCTCCCAGTTTCATATTTATCTCCCATTTTCTTCATCACATCTGAACTCACATGAGTAAAAGCATATTAAGCAAAATGGGGTGATAGGTGTTTAAATAGTGGACCTTAAAAGTGGCAATTGTTTTTCCTCTTCAGGGCAAAATCCTCAATAGATTCCCAGTAGTTACTCACTTTAGAACAGTATAATCCTATGACTGTCCTCTCAGAGGTTAGTCCTGTTGATTTCACTGGGATGCTGGAAGGCAAGTATGCATGTTTTTTCACTAGGTAGGGAGCAAGTCTATGCAGTTAATTAAATCAGGTACATTTACCTGCTCATACACCTGTGCAGATGAAGGGCAACAAGCTTACTTCAGAGTTTGTCTTCCCTCATCAGGGATGCTATAAGTGTCTGCAAGGCACCTGCTAATGAAGTTCCACATATATGACCAGGTGGCTGTATGGTGGATTTGAGTGCAGTATCAGCATATAGGGAAAGCAAAACCACTTAGCCCGCAGCAACATGTATCACCAGTGTGAACAACCAGCACTTTTATTGCATTAGAGAATGCTATAATGTCAGTAATAAGTACTGACTACACAACAGTTTATTGTCTGCATCAACAGACATGGAATGATGGAATTACAGTTGATGTAAGGAATGAGGTTTTTGTATGCCTAAAATATAAAATAAAATAAGGAGAATCTCATTACTGGCAGCACATACACATGAAGCACCATGCTAACAGTCTTGACTGTACCATTTTTATCAATGCTTTTGGGAAAGAAATACTCTGTTGCCTACTCTGGGGTTGTTTAAAAATGTAGAGATCATCTGCCAATGTAACTCTCGAGACTTAGAACGAGAAATTATTTGCGCAACATCCTAAAAACTCCATCAAGGTATGTTAACCAAATGGTAATAAAAGCTTTCCAAAAGAGTTGAAAACATTCTCCATGCTATAAGGAAAGTAGCTTGTCAGCATTCTGAAAACTACAATAGTTCAAAATTATTTTTTAATCTTTGATATATTTATATATATATATAAAATATCTAATGATCTGTATTCGTAGAACCCTCCCCCTCCCCTTCACTTCTACCCTGATATCTGATCATGGGCATTATGGTTTGATTCTCCTAAAGGGGAATTAAGATTTCAAACATAACCTTAGATTTTCTTCCTCCCCTTTTCTTCTGCTTTTGTAAAATGTAGAAATCCAGTATGTTTTAGGTATGTGAGGTGTGCCGTCCTGATCCAAAGGAAGGATGATCTTTGCACAAAAACAGGTTTCAGGTTGTGAATTTCTCAAATTGAAGGTGCAAGAGGTTGCTTAGGAAGATCCACCGCATCCAGGCCCTGGGGCTGCAGGTAGAGCTTTCACTGCCTTCTACAGTCCTGCAAAAGCTACATTTGTGGCTACATCTGTAGTCAACTTAGTGAGGAAGACCCTTCCCATCTCCTCCTCTGCAGCAGGCGATCAGAGCTGACATTATTGACCATGTTCAGCAGGGGGAAGAAAGCAGGCCCAGTGGATTTTGTGGAATGCTATGTGGGTGGAAATGATAGGCTTTGACTCATTCCTGACAGTGGTTTACCTGATACATGGTACTACTTTCATAATGTATGGTTTTTTTTTTTTTTTTTGAGAAACGAAAAAACAAAACAAAACATGTAACAAATTGTCTTTACATCTTGGCACCTTGTAAAGTTTTTTATACAAAAGTTCAATAATTTTGACACTCTTCATTATTAATCACTACTTCACTGATAAACTTTGAAAGTGTGACCTTGGAATTCATCATGCAAAGTATTTACTGCAGCAGGAGAAAACATTTTTTGAAACTTTTTTTTTCTTAAGACAGCCAGAAATAGGCAGTGGTAGGAATAACAGAGGGGCAAGTAAAGTATTTAAAAACAAAAAAACCCAAAACAAAACAGCATAATAACAGAACTGTACAAAAAAATGATTTGATCCATAATGAGGAGGGTGGGAATAATCTGTCACCTATGTTACATTTTAGAAGCCAAAAGGAAAAAAAAAGATGTGCCAGAACTAAAACAAAGAGTTTGGGACTTACTCCCCCATGTCAGCAAATGTCATCCAATAGTCTTAAAGCAAGGATAACTGAATAAAATACATGTGCAGGATATCCTGCAATTCCATTACATAACAGTAGGATTTTTTTTCAAAGGTTTTTTTTAAAGTATAGTTAATATAAAGCAGTTGCACAAAAAAGCAAAAGGTGTTTTGACAAACAGGTATGCATTTATTCCTTTTTAGGAATCATTTTTCTTTTTTAAAAAAGGACTCCCCCCCACCCATTTCCGTCCCCTGCCATCCAACCCTCCTCCCCCAAAAGACAAAAAGGATCACAGAGACACATTGGGCTATATATGTACAACATAATAAACCCCACCCTATAGGAACAATTGTTATTATCCAAAGGGACACAGAATCAGAAATTTGTAAAAAATAGCGAAGTTTGCTTGATGTAAAGCCTGAGATTTTCTCTTGGTTCTTCTGCAGGGCAGCGATTCCTGCAAGTTATGGTAAGTCTAATTTTTTTTATTTCCTTTTCTTTTTTATTATTTTGCTACAGTCTTTAGACTATGCATGCAAGACATACAACTAAGTGCAACTGAGTGAAATGTAGTTTTATTTTTTATTTACTCATTCCCTAACAGTTTGAACTGAGGTATGCGTACTAACAGTTTCTCATGCTGTTATCTTTACTCATGTCTAGCTACACATGCTGAGAATGAACTAATCTACCAGGTTTTTATCCCCTTTTTGAATACCAAGCTAACCAGCGAAACCACTCAGTTCTGGAGCACAGGAATAGATAGCTTCTTGTGAGCTCATCTGGCTATTTCCTGCACATCATGGAGCTGCCTGAATACCATTTGTTTAAAAATGTCCCAAATGACCACAAACTGCCCTCCTTAAAAATAACAATAATAAAAACAATTAGGGAAGAAAAATGTTGAGTTTTGATGTATCTCACTGTCAGCAAAACAAAAATGTAAAAATGCAATTTGCATCCAGTTGAAGTTAATGGCAAATCTCCCATTGACTTGAATGGTACCAAAGCTTATAAGGGGATAGGAGTGTTACTCTATATGAAAGATGCTGACCAAAAATTGAAGGGTAAAAAATACCCAACACAACAACAATCACAGTCATTCTAAAACATTGTGCACAGATAAGCCAAATTTAAAAGAATTGCCCTGGCAATAGTTTTTAATAAAATTGAACAGGATTTGTAAGGCCAAACACCAAACGGAAACATAAAAATATTTGCTTGTGATAGTATGATATGGATTAGTTTTAAGTTGCGAGAGCTTTTCTACATATTATGTAACTTTGCCTCCATTACAGGATACTCTATTTCATTTTGCAAAACAGACTTCCTCCTACTTTCTTAAGATGAAATGCTGCCCTTATATGCTCCCTCTAGTTCCTTGTGTTCTGTAGATTTATCTTAAAAAGCTCTCTCTCTCTCTCCAAAAATTCATTTGGTCACTGTAAAGAAATACAAATTAACAACAACAAGAACAACAACAACTTTGGTTCAGCCATCTACTTGGTCTTCTAAATTATACTCTAATAAGGAGCAGTTTTCCTTCTCAGGTTAGCCGTAGCCCGTATCTTGACATTTGCTTCTAAATTCTTTCACCTCTTTTGATCAACAATAAGAGGATATTTGGCTTCATACGATAAAGCATATAACAGAGAACATAATTTACCTTTGTGTAATATCTTTGGTAACTTTAGGGAGGAAGGGTACAAAGCAGAATATAAATTAAGATCAGAAAGGCTTTTGAAATTAAAAAGCTATAGTCCAACATAAATGAGTGAGCTACAGAGAAGTGGTTGGAGAATGGAAGTGTTTAGATGTCCAGTGATAGAGGGGTACCAACATTTTAACAGCCCAGATTTGCTCTGCAGAACACTGTAATTTGCAACAGTGCTAATTCACCCACAGGTTTCAAATTGTTAGGTTCTGATATTGGTTGTTGTGATAATTGTGTCATGACCTTAATGGCAGTAAGACTTTTGTCTAGTTAAAATGATTAACATTTTACAACTAGTGTGCCTTACTGACTTCCTGACAAGTTAAATCCAAAACCTAAATTATATTCAAACTGATGGATACCACCAATTAAATCTTGAACTTGAAAAGATCACATTGTACACTGTTTTACAATGCTTGTTTCAGATATGAATCAGAAATATGTATAGGTACACACCTTGGTGTTTTAGGTTTTCAAAAGTATTTGATAGGTCAGAAATTCATGTTAAAAAGCTAATAGCCTTACATCGTGATACTCATTTTTGACATAAGTTCAGTTGGGTAATAGATGTTCACTTGGGGGGGCGGGTGCTGTTATATTTTGGGTTTCTAAATATTCACCATTACTGTAAAGAAAAAGAAATGGGAGGGGAGACTCCAAACAATTATGACAAGATATACTGCTCTGTGGAATGAATTTTGGACCACGTTCTACACCATTTCTATGCTGGTTTGCCTTTCATTCTCACTCTTGCAGTACTGCCTTTTTTCTATTGGAAGATAACTTTGCACAAGTTACAGCAGCATTTAAGAACCTTTTTCATGGGCAGGGGGACATATAGCCCAAAATGGAATGTTTTCTATAGGTAAAGAAAACATGGCATCTGAAGGAAACTGGAATGAATGGCAGAAAAAGAACTACAAACAATTCAAAGGACATTCAGCTTTGTATAATGAACACACCTATTAACATTCATCACAAAATTACAGAAATATTAAGCCTCAAAAGGCCCTGGCCAGTTGAGGCCTGAGGTCAGAACTTAAATTGGTATAGGAGAAGTTGGGGTAAAATCAAAACTATAGACTAAAAAAAGTTGGGAGAATTTTCATTTAACCCTTCTCAGTATACACTCACACGTTCTCACACACACGCGTGCATACACTTGCACACAAAAAAAGACTTCCCCGTCCCAAATAGAAGCAAAAGAAGAAGTAAAGGCAGTGATAATCAACATGCGATACTGTGCAAATATGTTGTCCGTTGGAATCCTTAAAATCTGGGCAAAGGCTTGATCTGCAATTTATGTGTACATGCGCAGCTTGATGTCTTCAGTGTCCCAAATTGGAAGAACTGCAGTCCAAAGTCTGCTGCCAAATTATGGATAAGTGAATTGAACAAATTTACAACACTGATGTTGACTGTGAGAGGGAATCCCAAGTACCAAACAAGTCCATCCAATGCACAGAGTACAAATTCCTTTGTTTTGTTTTTTTTCAACAAAAAGTAGAAAAATCAAAAATACTCCCAAATGGGATAGTTGATGGCACTAAGAGTTAACATATTTTATAGCTGTCAAAATGGACCAAGTGTATCCTCCAGACTGTACAATAATGGGGAGAAATTTCACAGCTAATTTTGAAGAATATGTTTTTTCCTCCCTCCCCATGATCTTCATTTGCAGGATCACAACCACAGAAATACTCATTCAATGTCCTCATTTACATTTTCATCTTCATAATCTCTGTCGTGATCAAACTCTGGACTGTGGTTGGCTGTTGTCACTAAGGATAGTGGGCCTTCATTTTCATCTGGATCTAATGGTTCTTCTTTGACATGTACAGGGTGCCTGTGAAAATACAAAAGAAAAAGGTTCTGGTGAGCACTTCCTTTTTTAACTGGGTATGGAAGAGATATAAACAATTCAAAGGATATATAACCTTTTGTAATAAAATCACCTATTCACTTTTTGTATAATAAAACACCTCTTAGATAAACTAGAATTCTGCTGTTAAAGGTATCTGAGAAGCTAGAAATACAATCTTTTCAACCAAATGACGAAGACATTTGGCACAAATACAGATCCAACCACAAAAAAAGGATGAATGATTCCAAGGCACTTGCATTTCTCCACTTCTTTTTAGTGGTTGTTTTTCAGAACATTCTCCCTTCCTCCCCCTTCTTTCATTTTGTCTTGAATACAAGTCACATTGTGGTTCTTAGCCTGCCTACAAAAGGAAAATGAAAAAAATCCACACTCCTAAAAACACTGAAGTTAATAGAAAAAAGAAAAAGCCCTTGCCTATAGTTTCTTCATGGGGCTTAGAGAAAAGCTCTCAAGTGACACATTAGCTTGATTAATACAATCTTCAGATAAATAAATGAAATAAGCATCTCTAAAGCAAAACAGTGGTTTATCAGCCCACTGGGCTTCTTGAGGTTGGGCTAATCATCGGTTACTGTGTGTTCTGCTTTTCTAGTTAACATGCAGAACCTGTGAGGCAAGTCTCCAGAGGACGACCCCAAGTGAGGTTCTATCATTAATCAACTTCAAGCAAACACAGCAAAGAGACACCATGATACATGCTTTAAACTCCAAATTAATGCATATTTTTACAAACTGTCAATAAGGGAAGAAAAGCCCTGCCAGGAAACACAAACGGAGAGGAAAAGGCTCGCTCAACACAACAATATGATAAGAAAGCATAGTCCTAATGAGAATAATAACACTGTCAGCTGTAAACAAGGCAGAACATGATCCTCAGCTCGTGGTGGGCACTGAGAATGCACTAAAGAGATGAGATCTGCCAAATTTCTCATTATAGAATAGCACGTGAATAACCCATGGGGGAACAAGGTTGATTATACAAAACGGGCATGATAACAATTGAAAAATGTTGTCCGTAAATCATATTCACAACAACGCCCTTTACAAATACAAATTGCCGTCCCACTTTTTGTTGCTTAGTAGCTTTTGATGTGTAAAATAACCCCTGCAAGTAAGCAGGATCTACTTACAAGACTCTAGGAAAGGAAGTCTGATTCTGTTGGCAGTACCATGCAAACTGCAATAACACAGCCCATCCAGGAAATCCAGTTTGTTTCATTAATAATGGATATTTAAAGTAATTCCTAAAATTAAGTAATAATGGGTTCCAGTCTCTTAAAATTGGGATTTATAACTTGCAACACTGGATCGTTGTGGCCCACAAAGTTTAACCCTTTCATTAAACTACCCCCCCCCACACACACACACACAAAATGTAGGTGCAAACTTTCAGTGTATGAAGGTCCCCTTCTAAGTGGTTGAAAAGGTATGTTCTGTGTGGATGGGAATGACACTATCATGACCAGGGGAAAAGTGCATGTGGTGTTCCAGAATCAATTTTTAGCAATTGCATTAGAAGAGTAAACTTTACAAGTCCAAGAGAATTTTACAAGTGTAAAACCCAGTATAACTGCCAGACAGAAGGGAGTCATGTGATTGCATTGCTGGGTCCATTTGTACTTCAGTTCTCCAGTTCACACAGTGGTACCATAGCTCACGAACTTAATCTGTTCCAGGACACTGGTCGTGACCCAGATTGGTCGTGAGCCAAGTTAAATTTCCCCATAAGGTTCAATGTAAATAAGGTTTATCCGTTCTGTAACTATTTTTTTAATCAGAAAAATGTGAAGCAAAGTGACAAAGAACAACAAAGATTGCAGCCATCTCCCCCCCCCCGCCCCGAGCATGAGCCTGGCCATCTCCCTGCCCCCCAGCACAACAGTGATCGCACCCATCATCTCTGCACGCGCCCGTCATCCTGGTGCACTGGGGGGGGTAGATGGGCACAAACGCGAGCGTGCTGGGGGGGAGGCGGGCACACTGGGGGGAGAGATGGGCTTGAACGTGGGCACGCTCGGGGAGAGAGATGGGTGCGATCGTGGGTGTGCTGGGGGAGAGACGGGCACGAATGTGGGCGTGCTGGGGGGGGAGACGGGCGTGATCGTGCTGTGGCGAGATGGCTGAGATCATGGTTGTGCTCTTGCAGGAAAGATGAGCACAATCATGGGCATACTCGTGCAGGAAAGATGGGTGTGATATCGGCCATCTCCTCCCCCTGCCCCCAGCATGGTCGTGGCCATCTCCCCACTGTGGCGGGGTGGTGAGGAGATGGCCATGATCATGGTCGCCATCCAATGTGGAGTTCACGACCTGAGTCAAAATGCTTATGATTTTTTTGTTTGCAACCCGATTTGGTTGTGAACTTAGGCGTTCATGAGCCAAGGTATGTATGTATGTATATATGTATGTATTAAAAGCTTTTGTCTGCTGTCCTATCTCAGGACAAGATCTCAGGATGGCTTACAATATTTAAAAAGACAATTAAAACAATAATTTCAATAAAAAAACCAGAACAAAACAATAAATCGCAAAACAGAGCGACTAAACTTAAAAACTATTAAAGTTCAAAATACTGTTTAAATAAACTACTGTTTAAATAAAAATGTTTTGGCCCGGCGCCGAAAAGAGTATAAACTTGGCGCCAGGCGTACCTCTCTGGGGAGTACATTCCATACAGGTACCACTGTATTTGTTAATATTGATGATGTCTTTGGAAGTAGCTAGATGTGTACCAGCTGCACCAACTTCCACCAATAGCTACAAACATCTTTCAAATCTTTCTTTTGCCGTGTGGGATGATCTATGCTGAGAGAATGACAGAAAAGGTATAAGGGTGTTAATGCTGCTGGACCTCTCTGCAGCTTCCAAGACCATGGACCAAAGTTTCCTTCTAGAGCAGCTTTCTAAGCTGGGTGTCTGAGAATGATAATGAAGGCACTGTGTTGCAGTCCTTCATCTCTACCAGGATGGCCAATTCCAGAAGGCATTGCTGGAGGATTATTCCTCCCTGCCTTTGCAGCTATGCTATGGGGTCAGGGAGGATTCTAGTTTATTCCCCTATGCCTAGTCTACATGAAACTGCTGGGAGAGGTTAACTAGAAATGCTGACCTGGGATGTCAGCAGGATTGGGATGATTCTTTTGATCAAATCTAGGTTCCTCAGTGGCTGTTGTGAATCACTGTGTATGGTTGTAATTTTTTTCCTGTCTAATCATAAATAGGATTGTGCCTAGGTGTGATAATAAAAAGTATGACAGCCAATAAACTGAGAATCAATTCACATAGGCAAAGGTACTGTTGGTTCATCTCTTTAGCTGATGGGGTTACACTTCAGCTTAAAAGATGAGCTTTCTCATTTAAGGGATGCTCTTGGGTTTAGCACTGGCTGTCACTAGAGGCACAGGTGGCTTTGGTGGTGTGGAGCACTTTGTATCCACTTAGGCCAGTGATGGCGAACCTATGGCATGCGTGCCACAGCGGGCACGCAGAGCCCTTTCTGTTGGCACACGAGCCAAGTCGCCCCAGCATCCCCCCAGCAGCCATGCACAATGTCACTCAGCCATGACGCGCCGCAAGAGGCGGCACTGAATAGGTGGCCAGAGGCAGGTGCAACAGCCTTGGCAAGTGTGTCAGGAAGGGAGCGGGCGAGCAGTGAGCAGGCGTGCCAAGTGCTGGCGACAGCACCCTCCTCCTGCCTCCTCCCAGCCTGCAGCATGTGAGCAGCCACCCAAGCTGCCCTTCTAGTGCAGTGGTGGGACCCTGCTGACTCAGTAGCTGCAGGCGCAACCAGGCAGCCGCACACCCGCCTGCCCATGCGCCTGCTTCCAGGCTGGGCTCCCGCACCAGTGGCCACGGGGGGGGGGGGAAGCGGGGGGAAGGGAAGGGGGGGGGGGGGGGGGGGGGGGGGGGAAGCTGGGTGAAGAGAATGAGTGACGGGGTCGAGGCGGGGGAGCAGTGGCAGCTGGAGTGAGGAGGAAGAGAAAGAGAGTGCCTGGGTTTGATATGGTGCTTCCCAGGGAGGGAGGTCATACTGAGGAAAAGTGGAGGCTGGAAGTGCTGCGAAGTGAGAGGAGTGGGCACGTGATGGGGACCCCCCTCCCCTCCCGACCCCATTCGCCAAGGCTTGGCAGTGCTGTGGGGGCGCCTCGAGGAGGATCCCAACGGAAGCGTGGAAGGGATCAGCGATAGCCTCTCCTCACCTTTAGTTAGGTCTCTCTCCCTGCCATTCTGCCCCTCCACTTTCAAGTGCCGCCAGAGCTCCTGCGGCATTCCTGGTGGCTGGTTTGGTGGGAGGGAGGGAGGGAGTGCACGTGCCCAGGTGCAAGCAAGCCTGGTGCTCTCTGACTTGGGGGCACTGAACATGAACATGGCTCCTTCTCTCTGTTATATTGTTTTTCTTTTACGACAAAAGATGTTGATGTATGAGGTTTTTTTTTTTCTAAACTAAAACCTCAGTATTCAGGTTTTATTGCAGTGTTGGTGCTTTGTGATAAATAAGCGGGTTCTGGGTTGAAGTTTGGGCACTCGGTCTCTAAAAGGTTCGCCATCACTGTTCTAGACACAAAAATTGTCCAAATATCTTACAGAAACTTCTGGAGGAGCACAGCATTTTGAATGCATTAATGGATTTCATTTACCAAAAAATTTAAACATTACATGAATATACAGCCTCATGCTATATAATTGAAAACTAATCCTTATGTCATGATGAACTGTTGGAGTATAACGTACCTAAAGATAGTTTTTTAAGATACTTTTTTTTTCAAAAAGCGTTTTATTTGAGAAACAAAACTGCCTACCTAGATTGGTGGCTTCCATTTGTGGAATGCTCTCTTCAGGATACCTACATTGTTTTCTTTAGAGAAACAAGCAAACCTCCCGTTTGCTCCCAGACATTTAGTCCTTCAGTTTTTGTTTTAAATATGTTGTTGGAGTTTTTGATTTTTATCTGCTGCTGGCTT